GCGTCTGAAAATATTGAAGTTAGGAGGTATTAAAATGAACTTAATACGCGTCAATAAAACTTAGGTAACACTTGTGCAGAGAAGTTTTTTTAAATCAAGATGAATTCGATATCGACACTTCTCAATGCTTGCAAGTGTAACCACTTTTTTTTCTTCAGTGGCAATTGGGAAGTATGCGCTTGAGGGTATATAATGTCAGGACCTACAGTTTTTCTTCTCAGAGGCAGCGATTTCCATTCCTTACCGAAATCTAATTTGATCTGTAAATCACCATCTGAGTACTTTACAGCAACAATGTCTGTAACAGTAGGATCTGATGACTTTTTTCCGGGCCTTATAGACGCATATTGAAAGTTTGATACATTTGAGTAATCATTAAAAAATCGTATTCTAATTTTATAGCGTTATAAGGCTCCGGGTGTTGTCGTTCATTTTCTGTTGCCGTTAAAAAGTCACTAGGTGAATGAATTTTGCGATTTTTCAATTTTCTCTCTATGCAGCTATGTACTGAGTCTACCTCTATTTGTGAGTGACCTTTTTCTAAAAACTTCTGCATAATCGTTACCTTGTGAAGAGTTGAGAAGTTAGGAAGGGCATTAGACATGATCGCATTCCGATTTTGAAACGTACAGCCGTCGCTATAGATGATAATAGGAAGTTTTCGATGCAAACAGTTTCTTGTGATATAGTCTAATAAACAAGTTAGAAAAGTAGAAGCATTAAGGTTTGTATCAATTTCTGTGAACCAGTAGCAATGGAGGTGGCATTTAAATAAGGAGCTACTTTTACTGCCTATAAATCCATTGTTAATAGAATGCACTTCTTTTCTCCAGCTTCTTTAACGTCGTTCTCTTTCTCTTTGCGACGTATCTTCCCAAAGGTGTTACGTCATCTTCTTGACATTTGTCTGTGTATTTGTGAAACAGCTGCTTCATAGATGTAAAATGTTCTTCAAGATACAGCTTGCTAGTATTTTTCCTTACATAATGGGACGGTTGTTTAGGTAATTCTTCAAAAAAGCATTCAAATACCCATTCTGTTCTTTAAACTTCTTGACACGGCAATTTTTATTCTTTATTTTTTCGTTCTGTTGTTATTTTTCTTCTCGCATTCCATTTATACTTTGTTTCACCCAGCTTTGTACAGTAAAAGGTCGAAGGCCCAATGTGCTTGAGAAAAACTCCCTGCACACAGGTACTTTCATTTGACCATTGCTCAACGTGTAATTGAAACTTCCTTCTCTACGAGATATTTCAGAGTAGCAGTTTGTTTGTGGGTTTCCACTCGGGATACGTGCGAACAAACATAAATTTTCTTCTGATCCCAACTCAATGACGACCAGAAGTGTTCAAAAAGTTCTCTCATTTTTTCCTCGGAAAATGCGCCACATTGTCTTTTGGAAGATTTTCTACAGAAACGCGAATGCATGCTTGTCCCATGTTTCTTTCAGATCCCATGATCTCTTGTTTAATTCTTCCATCTCTACTCCTGCTGTATCCTAAGTACTCTTTTCCCTTTTCACGCAATTTTGCATTCCTTTTTTTCTTCCACTCTGCTTGGATAGCTTTCTTCTTCCTTTTGCGACCCTCTTCCATATTTCCATACATGGGCTGCTCCAACTGAGTCTCAGGCAAATTCATTTCCTGCCGTTCTTCAGAAGCACTAGAACTCGACTCACCATTTTGTTCCAGCTCATAAACAGACCCACTAGAACAACTTTCGGAGTCACTATTTTCTTCTACTATTCTCTTAGAAATACAAGATATGCCTGAAGTGGAAGGAGTCTCAAATGTTACATTTTCAGACCTCAAATTTGAGGATATTATTTTCTCACTTGCATAAGGAATGCTTCCGTTAGGATGATTCGAACTCTGGTTGGTATTTTCTACCATAACTTGGTCAGAGATTTGATTATGGCTTTGGATATTTCCACAAGAAATTGTTGAGACTAACCGATCTTCGAAGACAATCGGAATGTCATTGATATTCATCACGAAACCATTTTCTTGTGTGAGAAGCTCTTGTACTGGAAGCTCTTGATTGGGAAGCTCTAGCACGGGTACAATATTATTTTGCGTACCTTTAGAAAATAGGTTCAGAATCTTCAACGTACGTGAACTCATGATTTAGTCAGACTGAAAAAAACCTCCTATGTACAGGTTGAATTTGTGATTTTTTCAATTATTCCTTTCATCTTACTGAGCAATCATTGAATAAACAACTGAAAATAAAAAAAAAGGAAAACTTCTTAAAACGTCCATTTTGAAAACAGGCACATGCATTTCAGAAAAGGATGTCGAATGATGTTTTGAAAATTTCTGATCAAATGAAATGTAACATGACCTGAAAAAATTATGTACTTACCGGCGTTTCCATGGAATACAGATTAGAACAACACGCCACAACCAGTTTATCTCAAAAAACCTTCAATTTTTGCAAAAAACAAACAAACTGAACGCGTTCGACCTGCCTCGGGGTCTGATCCGGTGGATCGGGTCTTTCCTGAAAGACAGAACCCGAGAATACCTACCACAGAGAAGCGACATTAACGTCGGATCCTTTGATGCTTATATTATATAATCATTTTATATCCTCTGAAATAAATAAGTCTAAACTCAAATAAAAACATTCTGAATAAGCAATTAAAAACAATAGTATCTCGTATTATTTCACGTAAACTATGCCGATGTGGTTTTTGGTCCTTCCCTTTTGAAATGTGATGAACTAGTTTGCAAAGATTACAGAAAGTGTTCGTCTCATATGCGGCTTACCTAGGAGGGACCATGTAACAAATGCTTTGAAATCTCTGAGTTGGATGAACATGAATGAAAGAAGAGCACTTCAGGCTTGCTGCTTATTGAAAAAATTAAATGCTAACCAGCAAAAGTCTTCCTTATTTATACCATAAAAAAAAATCAGAACGGACGTGCATAATCTAAATATCCGATAGAAATCAACGCCAACTCCATCAAGTCACAGAATAGCTCTCTTTGAAGGTTCATTTTCTTATTATATAAATTGGCTAATGAATAGGATTCCACCTGGTTATGAAGACTTAGGTACCTTTGATTTTATTCAAGAAACACATTAAAAATGAAATTTTGAACAAATCTCTTACATTAGAAATGAATTGAAGCATGTTCTTAAAAAACTGATCCAAATAACTACATCAGTATCTCACATTATTAAACGTGCTTTTGTGCATCTACTTGAGATGCACGTTTTCTGGTTGAGTGGAAAAACAAGTCTCTTCTGCCGACTACACTTGAACTCAGCCTTTTGACTGACATTCTTTTCTCTATATATTTATATTGTGTTGTCATATCATTATGTATTTATATAATTTTTATTTCAGTCAATAAAAACGATGATTATTATTATCATCATTATTATATATAATGAATTTTTATTAGCTTCAGAGATGAAAAGTGGGTCAATTTAGGTCATGATGTTTCTTCTCAAAGCTAAAAAAGTATTTACAGATATATCATGAAATTGACTTTTCATAAAAATAGTATTTATTCAATTTCCTAGATGATGTGGGATGTACCACCAACACAAATTTCATGGCCATGACCTGTACTCCTTCTATAGTTTCAGCCTATATTTATTTTTCATGTTCTTCAAAATGGGAAATTGGATCTTGAATATTTTAGTTCATGAGTGTGTAGATCATTTACTGGATCATCACGAACTGAAATCAAATACTTTCAAATGAAATAAAATCTTATATCAGCATGTTGTATTTAAGCTGTCTATAGTTTTCAAAATGTTCGGGATATTCAAAATCGAATGACCAATTTCAATCTTTGGCGAATAGCTACCATCCAAACAAAACGAGTATATTCAATGTTTTTAATGTTTTGGGGGTATTTTCCTTTATTCCCAGATCCAACAAATAATATCCATGATAATAATTACACAATGTTCACAAACATTTTTTTATTTTGCTAACACCATAGCTACCAAGGAAGCTACGGTGTATAGCGAAACGCGTCTAGAAAAAAATGGTTGTGAAAATTGGGTAATTATTATCATAGATAGTGCAGCAAACAGCTTAGTTTCGACCCGCCAAGGTCTCATCAGTGGAGCTAGGCTGTACCAATAAACTGTCCTAAAAAAAAACAAGCCTGAAAATGAAAGCAATATCTTCCTCTACAAAGACATCATTTATGGAATCGTAGGAACACTCAATCCCCGAATATCGTGGATAAACAAGGATCACTGATGAGACCTTAGCGGGTTGAAACAGTAGTCTGGTGTGGGATCACAATCTATCAAGTTGCCTTGCAGTGAAAGACAGGACGAATTGTTCATTGATCGATATTGGGCTTGGCTGTGCAATGAACTGCCTTTTGGGAGCTTCGTTTTTCCCCTAATATTCGGGAATTGAGTTTTCCTTCGATCCCGTAGATGAGACTTTGGCGGGTCGAAACTAAGCGGTTTGCTGTTGGATCCACCACATAGTCCCAATAATGGTAGAAAAATTACCTGTTTTCTGAAGTACTGTGAAAATGGATTTTGGGTGCAAAAAGTCTGCCAATGGGGTGAAAAATAAAAAATTGATAAAACGTAACTGGCAGATTTTTTTAATAAAAAGAACCCGCCTGTTGCACCAGGACTTAAAAGCAGCAAATGAATAGGGAATCTTGCCGATTTCAAAAATACAAAATGCAATACATGGGGCATATACTTATTGAGAAACAGAAATACATATCAGGGCTATTCAATCTACCACTCGAGGAAAGACATAGTCAACACGTAATTAGTAATTGCCCCCCTCACCCTTAAAATTTATGCCAAGAATATTACTTCGGTAGGAAAGAGAACTGCGGTTTATAGTTGCCTGGCTTCTTCTCCCACATTTTAGAAATCTTAGTTTTCCGTAAAGATTGAAAAGTAAAGAATCTACTGACGAACTGTTTTAACTGTGTGTTACTCTCATCCTCGTGGAAGGATCGATTGATGTAACTGTAAAAGTTTTAAAAAATAAATTAATATCCAATGACAAGAAACTGAATATAATTTTTTCATGTGTTGTTAATAAATTAAAACAAATTCTTCATTGAATTATGAACATATTGATCAGCAATTTCTATCTTCAGGTTTTTTGTAGGGAAAATCAATGCACATAAATACATCTTCTTCAGATTTGATTTCAACCGGTTCTCCAGGAATTCCTGAAAAAAGTTTCAACTTTCAAAAAAAAATTACATTGATACTAACTTGTAGGTAAAATTATGGTAAGATCAAGGTAACAATTCATAGTTTAAATGATTCTCGCTCTATACGAACAAAAATATTGTGTGAAAGTAAAAACACACTCATCAGACTCGAACCTGTTACTCCTACTGGTCTGAGTGAATACTCATTCAAAGTAAATCCATTTTCTAAAGCATGTGCTCTCATAGTTTTATTGAACATATCTGAGCCGGTGAAATAAAGAATACTGCAGTAATATTGATCATGAGGAGTCAGTCTTATATCAATTCTTCTTGTGGGATGTTCAGAATCAAACCTACAAGCCCCCTAAAAATGTATGTGATAAGTAACTAGTGCAACTCTGCTGAAATCATACCATAAATTTAGTCTCCCCAAGTGAAAGTGTATCAGTAATCAACCCGCATTTTTCCAATACTTGAACAATGCTTGTGAGCATTTTATTTTTTATTTTTTTGTCTATTTTATCACTAGTTAGATTGGGATGAGTAATCAAAGCATCAATATCGCCACTTTCCACCTTTCCCCTCCTGAAATAGAAAAGATAAATTGGTTGGGTTGAAAACTTGAAAAATGTATAAGTACTTCTTAGGAAACGATTACCAGCAAATTAAAAAAAAATCAGCAATGATCACCTGTAACTTCCACAGATGGTGACTTGATAATCAGCATCAAGGTTTTTCAATTCGTCTAAAATAATTTTTTCAATTTTTTTTATTTCTTCTCGTGGAATTCTCTTCTCGAAATCTTCAAAATACCTTAAAGTACAAAAATGATAGATGAAAGAATATGTTTTTCAAGATTGTCATACTTCAGTCCAATCAGCTGGTGATGGGTCAGTTTATCTGTGTTTTTCTTCAAATCTTCCAGAGTTGTAATACCATCATTTACCAAACTATGTGCCTTTGCTGGACCTATACCAGTTACCCTTGTCAGTAAATTGATAGCTGCATTTTTAGAATCACTGTGGATCTAAAATTATAGTTTGTTTAAAAAATCTATTTAACCATTGACAAAACAAACATTCTCCAATTTCCTCAATTTTCCTGTAGATAAAATTTCATCAATTTTCTTGGCGATTTTTTTACCAATTCCGCTTAAATTTTTTGCTTCATCACCTGAGCGAATTCGAAGTGGATGTTCTGCCAATACTCCTGCTGCTTTTCTGTAGGCATTATATTTATATATATTTCTGGAAACATTTTTTTCGTAGTCAGCTAGTTCTAGAATGTTACTGTGAAAATACCTAAACTCAATTCAGTATTGAAGACCTACCAGTTAAAACCTCGCAGATATCATTGTTATGATTGTTTTCACTAGAAGGGGCCTTTCTTTTACTCATGTTCAACGATTTTCAAAAAAACAATTTCTCTTCCAATAATACAACCTGGTTATCTAATTTTTGGGATACCACCGGAGAGTTTCATTCAAATACAAGAATAACAGGATGGAAAGGAATCTTCTGATTCTTCTGAATAGAACATTTGGTCAAAGATTTACTACTCTTTGTTTTGGTGCCTTTGCTTTCCAAATTCTCTTAATTTTGAAATCAATTTAGTCACTTTTCAGTGCTCTTAGGACTGACTCAAAAATTGCATGAATATTTATTAAGTTCGAAGAAAAAAAATATTCAATTAATTATTTCCTAAAAACACGTTCCAAAAATAACCACTTTTGTTTTGTCAAAAACTCCCAAGTCCCAATACGAAAAATGAGATTGATCCAACTTTGTGCACATGTTGATAGATGGAACAAGAATCGTTTCCAAATTTAAACAACAATGTGTTTTCATCAAAATATTTTACACATGATTTCATGCATCTTGTTTAATAGCTAAATTATTGGAAACTATTGGGGACTATTTTCAAGTAAATTAATTTTATAGTAATCAAAATGAATATTGAGTGGTCTGTTTATTTTCAAGAGTTGTTGGAGAATGATGAAAATCACATAAAGAAAACCCGTAACATTGAAGTCAGTTATCATCTACATTCGATCATTAAAAATATAATGGGTGCGATTGTAGAAAAGAGATCGGAGTCACTTTTCAAAAATTTTCATTTCAATGCAATTTGTGTTAGCTGATGGTAGATGCATATTTTGATGTAAAGGCATCTTTCAAAGTTTCAAGATTACTGAATTTTTACTTGGTTTACATTACGTTAACTAGATGATCTACGTCTTTCATGATAAGTGTCCAGATGAACCTGTTTTAATTCAAGTAGTTCATTATTTTCCTAACCAAAACTCTATTGTTGATAACAGCACTGTTCAATGTAGAAAAATATGATTCATTGAAATTTTTACCTTTTTTTCTGTAGATGTAAATGGTAAAATGCTAAAAAAATCACATATTTCTACTCATCTAGATGTCTAGAATTTAATAATTTTTTACTTCCCAATTACAAGAACTATTTGCTACAGAAAGTTTCATGTGTTTTCCTAGAAACATTAAGGTGACATAGTACCTTCTCTTTCTCTCTCTCCCTCTCTATGTTGATGGCTTTGAGGAGCATTAAGCCATAATCTAGTACCTCCGTTCAAATATTTCAAATACAAACCCGTCATGTGCCAATTGTCATCATCACGATTCCAGGTGACAGGTTTCGAACAATTGAACCACCTAAAAAGTAAAATTCCCTAAGTTTTTTATTTTTGTCCTTATCAACTTTTAATACTTCGATTCATATATCCGGAAACATCTAGGAATCTCTAAAATTACAAATTCTATCTGTTCCGACTTCGAATTATTCCAAAAAAGGCCTAGAAAATGTCAGTCGGTTTAGACCCAAAATTTTTATAGTGGCAACACTAAATAAGGGTACTGGAATCGTCCATTCAGGAAATTATATTTCGCGTCCAAAGGTTTTTCAGTAATACCACAATAGTAGTGATTTTAGAACCACCAAACCATATTTCTAATTACTTTTTGGGATATATCCTAAGACAAAATCGGATTTCACTTGACAAAACAGGTGGCATTTCGTGTTGTATGGTTAGCTAACGTAATAAAGGGCATATGGCTGCATATGACAGGCACTGCCATGTGATTGGCTCATTGGTAGAATTCACTGTATAATGATACCAAATCGTTATGAATAATAAACAATAAATAATTGTATAGAACTGGCCGATACTTGATGAAAAGCCATATTAAAAAACGAATTAATAGTTTATTGTATGATTCCCACTATAAAGCTAAACAATAGCTTACTACTCCTCGGGACGGAGAGCGACCTTTTTATATCGTCAACGAACGTTCCGGATCTCTCTGCGGATTTCGGGACCCATCCACACCTTTCGCGCTGGTTCGCGATGAGACATGCGTTTGCTGACTGGGACATCGGTCAGGGCCGGCTTCAGATTCATTACATTATATTAGACAATGGAAGTCCGAACTGATGAAATAAACCACGAAACATTGTCAACCACCTTCAAACAAACGTAGTAGTGATGTTCTGCACTATCGCGACATCAAGAATGTCTGGGACTTGGTCTTCTCGTGGGTAATATGTTGGGAATTCTCGTGCTACTACCACGATGTCCTCAAATTCTTCTACTATTCTGACTAGATGTCTGCCTCTTTGAAACTACGATGCTGGAATTTGTCCCCAGTTTTATATCATCATTGGTAGGCCACGCCAATCATTCGGTAAGTCAGTAGATTTCACCGTCATCTCAGATTAATTCGAATGAAGTTGAAATATTTTCCTTCGAAGGGTAGTACAAATATTATCAGAATCCATGTTTGCGATACGTTCCATCATATTTTGATTAACTTCCATTTTTTTATGTTTTTTCTATCCGTTTTTAGCCATTTTATATTTTATTCTCACGTTATTGTCCTGACAAATGTGTGAAATATGTCGAAAACTTGACATATAACAGAGAGTTTTCTTTTTAAAAGTCCACCATAAATATTGAATTGTAAGGTTACAGTCAATAACTAATCTTAATTAACTAAAGGTCTCTGTAGTGTATGATTTGTTTTAAATACCTACCACCTTCATACCGAGTTCCTTGAAAATCTTTCCAAAGTTCTTCGTGTATATGTGGTATGGAACTGAGATATATTTATCTTGGTTTTCATCGTTTCTCAAAGTCGAGATTTTGTTCATTCTCAACCTAAACTTCTTCTTCCCTATAATATCATCTAAAATACCCCTCGGGAAACCGTTGCTGACTGCTATTTCCTTTATTGTACTAGAAAATTTTTAGTGCATCGTCTTTTGAATTTTTCTCTCACACATGATAGCTTCACAAAAGAAAAACGGGTAATACATCAGGAAATCCAAAAGACAAAGTCAAGAATTCTGAAAAGTCTAGAATTTACGAAATTAAATGTAAGGACTTCGATGCAAAATATTATGGACAGACAAAAAGATCTATTTAAATAAAATATAAAGAATAGCACACCTAAAATATGGTCGCCCATCATATTTTGCAACAAAATCATTCCACAGACTTTAGTTCATTGATTAGACAAGTTAACAACAACAGGCATCTAGATGCCTACGAGAGTGTAGAAATAAGTAAACATAATAATTTTATGAATAACGATGGTGGACCAATACCTAATTGTATACTATATAACTTGTTGAAATAATTTTCTAATTATCAGATTTACCTGATTAGGTATTAGGTACATAAAGACACATCGTAAAATGAGTTTAAGACTCTTAAATAAGGCACTCAAGACGCAGATACCTAGCAGATACATATGGTATAAATAGGTATAATATTGTATTTATTTATTGGAAGAATTGGCTGCGGAGTCCAACGGTTTTTTATTTACCTTCATTAGATATTTTTGTATTGTCGCGTCACGAGTTCTCTCTGAGGTCTCAATCTGCCTACTCCTTAAATCCAACTGGTACGATCTCTCTGATTGTTCGAGAGTGGAAGTTTTCATTGCTCGCTAGTGTTTTTGTGTTCTCGAAATTAAAGTAGTGTCATGTCGCCAATACGTGCTCACTGATAATTTGTGTTCATCCTTGCGTATGATGATTCGCCTGTTGTTCTGGCCGATGTAAGTCTTGTTACAGTCTTAACATGATACTTCATAAACTCCCTGGGACTCCAGTGGTATCTGATCATATGGATTACGGAGCATGGACCTTACTGAACGTTCTACAACGAATGTTTTTGCTATATTGTGTTGGCGGAGAGTTCTGCTAACACTGTTCTGTGATTCTTTCAATATATGGTAGTGTGGTTGTTATGATCGGTGTTTCTAGAGTTTTCTGTGGGTTCTTGGAAGACGCTTTTATAATTTTCGTAGAGTTGCCTCGATGGTGTTCAACCCTTGTTGTCTCTATTCGTTGACTACCAGCCTTCTTGAACGTATAATTAGTGTTTTTGCCACCGAGTGAATTTGTTTTGGGTGGTAGTATGATTGAGTTCAGGTACCTTTCCACATATGCTTCGGGCTCTATTAACTAAACTTTCAACTCCCCTCCTCTTGTAGTGGCTAGTGGTTAGAATTCTTGAATATTACCGGAGTTTTTTTCCAACACCAAATCGTTATTTTTACACCTCGACACGTATTTCGATCGCCAAGTGATCATCTTCAAGAGGACTTGGTGATCGAAACACGTGTCGAGGTGTAAAAATAACGATTTGGTGTTGGGAAAAACTCCGGTTATATTCATTACTACACCAAAGGTTCGAAACAGTATATCACAAGTTAGAATTCTTATTCAGATAATTTCCTGTGTGCTTTGGTTTCCTGTATACTTTATGATCCAATGTCCCATCTTTCACATCTGTTCAATAGTACATCCAAGAAGGACATGGTTTTTTGGGATCCCCGTTCCATCGTGAAGTAGTTTTTAAGGATGAGAGATATGCAGATATGCAAGAAATTCATTCAGTTGCTTCTCATCTTGCTGCCATACCACAACGTATCTTCAACGTAACGCAGCTAGCAATATAGCTTCATGTCCGTTCACACTGAAGCATAGTGTTCCATGGAAAAGTTTGCCACCACAGAACCTGACGTTCATAAAAGAATTACTATCTCAGTGAAAACACGTCGATGATGAACAATGAGCGAATAGGAAGGTCATGTCTTTCAGAAATACTTCGCCAATCAGCCCAATAGTGTCTTTGACCGGAACCACTGTATGCAAGACGATCACGTCGGAGCTCACTAGCATGTTTCAAAGGCAGAGAAATAATTCCACTAGAAAGGAATAGGTAATCAACATTAATAAAATTTGGCTACCTGCACTTTACTTTCATATCAGGTCAACCGATAGAAAAGAAGCCCCGCCCACCACCAATGGAATAAATTCAGAGTACGGTCGTAAATGAAGTTGATTTTTACTGTGGATAAAGCGTCAGGCATAAAAATCTGCAGATCACGACCAAACCCGATAAATATCTTTGACACAATTTCTTTTTCTGATCTTTCACTCGAATTATTCTTCTAGAATCTGATAGATATAACAGTGCTTCTTCACGGTCATCGACTATTTCAAGTATTGTAGGTATTCGATCGCCTTTTTATTCACTAACTATCGTAATCTTATCTAGACTTGAAGTAATTCCTCAGTACGT